AATAATGAAACTGCTACTAAAGAGCATAAAAAGATTTTTTTAAAAAAACAACGAGGAAAGAATGATCGGAGAATTTAAAATTCACAGGATATATCAAAGACAAGCGAATCAGGAAAGATCAAAAGATAAACTAATTGACAAGTTTATCCAAATGGATGGAGAAATAACTATCCCAATGTAATAGCAAATATTAGTGCTTCCAATATTTTTCGTCTTTTGGAATTCATTTAAATTAGGATTCATTTAAACTCATACAGCAACCTATCAAATTTCATCCGCAATATATTTGTAGAAATCCAAGTATAATAGCTTCATTGACATGTAAAAAAAAGGCTAACAACACAAGAAAAATTAAATAAAAAACCTTAATCGCAGTATATTGTCGGTCAGTCTCTAATGTAATTTGTATAAAAGGATTGCTGCCTGAATATATATATATATATATATATATATATATATATATATATATATATATATATATATATATATATATATGAAGTGGCGCAAGTATACCTCATTATACTTGATAACTGAAGTAATCGGAAGATCTGACAGGTGAAAACTGTAGTAGCGTTGTGAGGTAGTTATATCTTAAATAAATTTAAGAACGCTCAAATATATTCTTCAGGGTAACATATAAAAATACACGTTGCAAAATAAAATCCTTACATTTAACTTGATAAATTCCATCAGAGGGTGAAACGCGTTGGTAAAGGAAATTTTTACTTTTGTCTATATATATATATATATATATATATATATATATATATATGATCAGTTTGGACATTAGTATATCTCTAGAAGTTCTTATAATAATCTACAGATGTGTATGTGTATATTGATTAATATACGTTAATAATTTATTTTAATGGTATTTGACTTCTTGTTTGTATATGCTATTGATTAGAACCTCGTCTCGCCAAATCGATATCCTTTATTGATTGTAAATATATTCTTTACGAGTATCCAGGTCGTAATCATTACCTCATGATCTCCTCTCCCCATCTATATGTTCAAGAATGGAAACAAATTCGAGAATTTATATTCCAAACTGAATAAACCTTTTTATTTCTGATATTGATTTTTATATATATCAAAGTTTAAAACGCATACATGTGCCTCATATATACCTATCCTCTCTCTCTCTATCTCTCTCTCTCTCTCTCTCTCTGTATATATATATATATATATATATATATATAATTAAGAATTCGCTATTTTCATGGAGGAAGAGTCGAGAGTTTGACGTAGAACTCAACATTCCATACTAAATGATCAAGAGAGCATGTGTGTCGGCTCTGTGTTCAGGTTACTGAAAGCATATGGGAAAGGGGGGAAATAGAAAAAAACCTTCCCCAGTTTGCAACAACATCTCAAAATAATGTAACGTTAGCCCGAGGAGAAAAATATCAGCAATCGCGTTGCCAGAACAATATAAATTCTTAAACAAAAGATCAGAGCTCATTGCAAATGAAGATACGAAAACAAATTCCTACTAAGCTACCTGCAACAACATCACCATTCAAAACACATCACAACAAATAGCTAATGACCAAAATCTGATAATGTTTATTTCAAATATCAAACTTTAAAACCGAAGAAGTATACAAAATAAATAAAAAAAATAAATAAAGATGATAAAATAAGTAAAAATAAAATGTAAAATAAGTATAAATAAAATACACAGTTCCACCGTTAAGTGCATCAATAAAACATTAACGCTGAACGAAGAACTGGGAAAATTGAGGTCCTCTTTCTTTCTTTCTTTCTTTCTTTCCTTCCTTCCTTCCTTCTTTCTTTCCTTCCTTCCTTCCCGTATAAAAGGAACGCATACAAAAAGTAGTGACACATGGTCTGATGATCGTTTAAAATGTAAATCTGATAATTGCCATGCAATTTGAGTTCTATGCCAACACTATTCATATCGATCTATCGTTTAGCTACAGAAGGAAACACGTATCTGCATCACCCGCCAGGCGAACTCAAATGATCAATCTTATGTAATTAAAATATACGAGTTTTGCCCGTAAATTATTCGGGGATTTTGATCTTATACAAAACCGGTTGCGTGGCCTTGATTTAATTAGGCAATAAATCAGATAGGATGTACTGAACATGCCTGAAAAGTAATTCTGCCAACAATAAACTTTTGCATCAAGTTTTGCTTGAAGCTGAAACATTTGCTCGCGGAAACTAATTGAATAAATTCAAGTTTTCGGAATGAATTCAACGGTTGAAGTACAGAAAAAAAGTTTCGCACCGACCTTTTCATCTTCGTCAGTAATCCACTGAAATCAATCCACATTTTTGATGGTCTTCATTGAGCAGAACATTCGAAAATGTTGAATGCATTGCGGTCTTCAGTGAAAGGAATTAAAGAAAAAAAATTGAACTGACGAGAAAGTATGCAACTACTTTTAATATCCAGAATGTCTATTCATCAGGACTTGTGAAGAATTTTTGGAAAATATCGCACCACATCATCTGTCAGTTCATATTTCTTCCCTTTTTTGGCTCCCAGCGACGATATTCCTCAAAGTTAAATCTGCTGTTTAAACATAGGTATTTTCAAACAGTGACAAAAGCGTATAAGGCACCAAGGGAACAGTAAGGTGCCAAGTGAATAGACGAGGTCTGTGTGAAAAGTGGCGGGATTAGGTGTGATATGGGCGAAAAAGGGATAAACGGAATGTGTTATCTTCTAACATGATATCAATCAGCTGGTAAATGTTATATTTGTATTAATCCCCCCCCACACACATATATATATATATATATATATATATATATATATATATATATAGATAGATAGATAGATAGATAGATAGATAGATATTAGTGGTAAATATACACATACATATGCAAAATATATAAATATATATACATACATGCATACACATAGATATATATTTTGTATAAAAAATAAATCCAAGAGGATAGAATCCAGGTAGAACTCAATGTCCAGGACAGAGTAAGGATATAATAAAAAGGCTTAAACACTAATATTCCATGGTCATAATTTATTCCATTGGAATCGTAAATACGATCCAATTCATCAGACCTACAAATTCAAAAAGAATATATATATATATATATATATATATATATATATATATCATTTCACCCCAAGCAAGGCGGGAGTGCCACTAGTAAGCAGGGGGTTACAGAAAGTGAAACTGATAGAAAAGATTGGCTTATAGGGTGTATTGAGGAAAGGTTAAACGATAAATGCAGTTCAAGTCAACCGAAGATGGTGATTGATGTTGCACTTAAATTTTTGAAGATTATAGTTATTAGGGAATCAAGTAAGCGGAAGAGAGTTGTACTGTCGGGAAGTGCGAGAAAAGAAACAAAAGAAAGGCGGACACTTTTTTAACACCGAATGTCGATAGTCTGTTTCATGTTTGACCGCAATCCTTACTTCAGCTATGAAACAGACTGTCGACATTCTATACTGTCATCAGTCTCCACATTTATTATATTTATTTACACAAGCTTTATCATGGATATTGACCACATCTACTCTTTAAATATACAAGCATAACTTAAAACTATTTAAACTAGTTGCATATATATATATATATATGTATATATATACCGGCTGTAACAGAAAATTTGTCCAAATCGTGTAGCAGTATTGGATAATTGTCCATTCTACCAAATGTTTATTATTTGAAGAAACCCTAAACCAATTGAGTTTCTTTTTCCAGGTTTAACCATCTTGAAGTAACCATTTGTAGTAAGAAATACCGAAAATCCTTTGAGATTTTCAGCTAGAAAGAGAACAGGTTAAAATCATTTTGTGTCAGAAACACTGTCTTCCCAAATGAGCAATATTGAGAGGAAAAAGGTCATTCAGGCTTTCCCTAATAGTACCAACACTGATACTCTGGATTCCATCTTCAAACTCCATTCAAGAACTTGTAAGAGAACGGTGAATAAGTTTTAAAAAGAGGCAACAGTAGAGGGGAAAATTGGATCAGGAGGTCACAACAGCAAGAGGGATTATCATTTCAACTTAGAGCTAAAGAGATCAATTAGAAAAGATGCAATTGAATTCATAAGACGTTTGGCACGTGAGAGAAGAGTTTCAGCTATGACAGTGAAAAAAGTGACTTAAAAATGAAATAGTACGCGAATCCTGTCAAGCATCTTGTTACTCCAGAAAGTTAGGTTAGAGAGAGCGAAGACCATCTTGAATAAGTTAGAAAATGATCCTGGAATATAATGTAGCAAAATGTAAACTATAAATGAAATAGATTATGCGCAATGGAATATAGCCGTTAATTAAAGGGTTTTAGAAAACAAAACAATACAATAGAAAATATTTAAACGTCAGCCAAACGTATCTACCTATAGACAAAATATTACCAGCAATATTAGAATAACAAAGTATAAACTATACTAAATCGAAAGGTCTAACTAAAGATAAGCTTTATATATTTACAAGGTTATTTAGTATATAAGAAGAAGCAATTGTGAAATTAAAATGTTTAGCAAGCTTGCAGGGTCAAAATAATATGTGTTTGCAATTGACAGCTAATTCGAATCTTTGATTTAATAAATCCTCCCTATTTAAAAATCTGATTATTTGCATTTTCTCTTGTAAATACAGAAAACAAGGTTGGTATTAGGATCTACATGTCCTTGATAGTTTTAAAATTTTCCTTTTAACTTTAGAGGCTTTATTTTCTTTTTTCAACTTCCATTCAAATCCCAGCGCTCAGTTTTCGAAAAAGATGTACGACGGTATCAAAATTCGAGATAAACTGACTAAAGTTTGCGTTTAATATAGCAAACAAAAAAAAAAACAAAAAAAATACGTCTACAAGATTGAAAACATCCTGTTCTTGACGATCGAAAGTATTTGGATAAAAAAACAAAAAACATGAAGTTTGGACAAATTATTTATAATTTTGATCCCAGTTAAAGTCCATTCGAAAATTGGAAAGTAAAAAAAATGAAATAGACAGACGCCTTCTCAAAAGCCAAAATTTCAGATGCCGACTTTTCAAGGTATGCCGACCACATTGATGATTGGCGTATCATAATTTTTCTATAGTCCAATCACATGTCACTTGCTGCCTTGTGTCAGACAAAACTCTGCTTTTAAAATGTCAAGGAATTGATGGTGTTTATATCAGTGCTATCTATCTATCTATCTATCTATCTATCTATCTTCTTAATATCTATGTATGTACGTTTATATCTATCTATCTATCTATCTATCTATCTATCTATCTATCTATCTATCTATCTATCTATCTATCCCAGTCTGTTCCTATCTATCTATCTACCCCAGTCTGTTTCTTTATATCTATCTATCTTGCTAGCTATCTCAATTTATGCACATATATCAGCCTTTTTAGCTACTTTCATGGAAAGAAAGAGCGTGGCCATAGAAATCAACGCTACATATCAGTTGTACAGCATAAACGATCATCAGATCTTGTGTTCTACCTATGCGGTCTAGATATATAGGGCACTAGAACTTATGAAAAGTAAAGGGTATTTCTTAATTTTAGGGACCAATCTATTCTTTTGATGGAGATACAAGTGGTCTAATGTTAACGATAAACAGAATGCAATCAGCGAACCAAGATTCTGTGTGTTCATTTCCAGCTAATGCTTTCGGAAAAAAGAAAGAATTCATTTCTGTATCCAGCTATAGATTAAACAACAAGGCAGACTGCGATCTCAATTCTTCGTTAGTAACCAGTTAAACAGAGGAATAACTCTGAATTCTAAACCGTGGAAAATGGCTGTTGGAGTTCTTTAATCTTGTTATGGCAATTCCTGCGATCTTTAACAGGGCAACTCGGGATTTATTTCTTGCCACCGGTAACATGTAACCCACTAATGCCTGTTACTTCAAGATAAAGGCACAACTAAATAACCAATTTGAATTGAGAGATGCATACAATCCATGGGAAAATTCCAAGCCGATACCATTTTATGCCTTTTCTCTATCTTCATTCCAAATCCGCCGAAAACTCTTTCCTTATTTTGTTTTTTCTTTTTGTTTTTTTCTCACTTTTAACGTGAATTTCTTTTCGTTTTTTTTAATACATTATCCTATTTTTTCTTTTTAATAATGTCTTTTACTTCACTTTCTCTATCGCCATCTCTCATGCGTTCTTTTTCTCGTTCATTCACGATTTCTCTTTCTCTGTGTCTCTTGCCTTTCGTCTTTTATTATCTCTATTTATACCGTTCGTTCTCAATCTCTTCTTCCTTCTTTTAGTCTGTTTCTCTCTCTTTTCAACTTTTTCTCTTTATATTTTTACTTCTTTCTTTCACTCTCTATCGAATACGCATTCATTTTATCCCCCTTTTTCTTTTTCTGTTTCTTTCTTGCTTTTGATATTTACGTTCTCTATGTCTTTCCAGTTTTTCTTTCGTTTGCTCACTTTCTCTTCATTCTCCCTCTCTCTTATACACAAACACACACGCATACACACACACGCTCGCTCTATCTTTCTGTCGATTTTAAACTTCCGCTCTCTATGTTTCTCTTTCGTTCACTATCTCTTTTACTCTCGCTATATCTTTCTCTTTTTCGACATTTTTATCTACATATCGTTCTTTATTTTTTTTCCTTCTACGTCTCCACTCGTTCACTATCTCTCTTACACCCCCTCCTTCTCTCTCTTTCTCGTTTTCCTTCTTCTATTTTTCTCCTCTTTTTGTTTTCCACTTCCTATATTTTTCTTATTTTCGCTTTTTTTTACGATTCCTTCCCCCCTGCTCTCTCGCACTCGCTCTCACAATTCGTTTTCACGTGACGACACATTTTTTCCAACTCTCTCTCTCTCTCTCTCTTTCTCTCTCTCTCTTTATCTCTCTCTTTCTCTCTCTCTCTCTTTCTCTCTCTCTCTCTCTCTCTCTCTCTCTCTCTATCTCTATCGCGACTGCCCTTGTCTATATCATTCTTCATGCGTCTCTCCACCGGTTTCTTCGACGACCAAACTTCTCATTTTCCCCAAACTGCCAATAGTTAATTAAATTCCACTCAATATATCTATGGTAGAATCTGTAAATCTTATCACCAGTCAAATCACTTCTTTCTGCCATTCTAAGAGAACTTAGATGAAAAATTGAAATGAAAAAGAAAAGTAAAAAGTGTTTGGAGTTGAGAAGAAGAAAGTGACGGTGAAATATACAACGAATGAGTATCGAGTGAATCATTTATCTTCTTTTTTTTTTTGCCAGCGTGTGAATTGTTTCGTGGTGCATGCTAAAAGGGCCAAGTGCCAAATCTTTAATGCCAAAGACGACATGGCAAACGTGCCAGGAAGAAAAATCCTAATCGAACTAAAATACGTTCCACTTTTTTCCCATCTTTCTTTTACCGAGGCAACTGTATTTACTTATGATGCACTGTCCGCCTTTTTTGCTTTTTATCTTAACCGCAAATCTTGTTTTTGCTTTGAACAGGGGCGTAAACAATGTAAAAATTTCTCACAACCAACACTACATTTTCGCTACTTCACTCACAGTAAAGAAAGAGTTGAAGTCAGATTCCTGATAACAAAAGCCGAGTGTCAAAGAACAGAAAATAATGAAAAACGGTTAACAGAATCGTCACTAACAGTATTTCATTATGGTCGTGAGTTCGATCCTCACTGGGTGTCTTATTATTGCGGTTCTGTACAAACTGAAATTTGGCTTTTAGCTAAGAACCTCTTGAGAAGCAATGGCCAACAAGCTAGCCTTGAACAATACTGAATTAAATTTGACCGTCACTTGGTGTCATAGACAAAACTGATTAAATATAATTAAACTTAAGAAATATAATATATTTAAACTTAAGAAATAGATATTAATTAACCAGATAAATATATCGGGTAAATTTTTAAATACATCCAATTTTTTGTTTATAGACAAGGAACCCTTAGATAAAAAGCTCTGAACTTTTTTCTAATTCTTATCCTAAAAAACACCTTTTTTTTTTCAAATTACAACGGAGAAAAAAATTTCAAAACTAGATTGTGAGACGTAAAATAGGCCAATATATTCTACACACTTAGGGTTTGTAAAATATAAGACCTTATATTCTGTTTATTTGAATACTTTGCTGATTAAATAAAGAGGACTAATATTGATGTTTTTCTTACCAGTGCCTGTGGCTGGTGTTCGATCCGAGTTAAAAGCCAAGATTTTGAATGATTATTTTCAAAGCAAACAGGTCATTCACCCCTAAAATATTGATGTAGTACAATTTTTTTTTTTATCTGAGAGTTGCACTAAGCAAACCTTAGTAAATAATTTTATATGAACAGCTTTAAATATTTATTCCTATATTCCGAACAATTCACAGACAATAAGGAAAAAGGAAAAGGAAGTTTCTGCGGATAGTTATGATCTTGTACATCCAGAAGGAACATGGCATTTAAGAAAAAAATGTTATTCGATTCTAACTAGGTACTCCATTAGTCTGACCATGTGCCAGACCTTGATATGCTTCATGCTTAATTTTAAGGTTTGTTTTGCAGTTGATGAAGATTGTTTCGCCGCAGTCGCACTCTTTCTTCACGTATTGATTTGTGCTACACATATTTCCTATAAATAAAGTGACTGAAATGAGTCCTTAGCAAGTTTTCCTTGTAGACTATTTTCTAGTATAATTACTTCAATTTTTGTGAGGGGCTGAGATAAGATAAGATATATATCTATATCCTCTAGCTGAGGTAGTTGCAGTTGTTTGGGCCAAGGCTAAGTAGGGCAAAAGACTATATTGAGAAATCCCCCAAAGCTTGATTTGAAATTCAACATTCGAGATCAAAGCTTTTACCCGAACTCGGACAGAGATCACTGTCGCTGTTAAGAAAGATGCAACTACTTCAGCCATTAAACTAGCCCTTATCAGTCTCTACATACGAAGGTGTTTATTTGTGCTGAATTGTTTTCTTACTTCCATCAAAATAGCTGTCACACGCCTTTTGCCCATAAAAAGCCGTAAACACAGTTGCCAGGAGTTTTATTTCGCTGCCTTATATTTAAAGCCAAACTTTTCCGCATGCTTTTCCGAAATAATCCTTACCGTTTCAAAAGACAGGATAATTCGATGCTGTCAAGAAGTTCCTGGCTATGGCGAAGAGAATGAAACCATCTATCAACTGATCACGAAAATAAATTGCATGTGCACTTGTTTTACTGGTCCGAGAGTCTGCCATTATATTATGGTAATTTGGTTATTTCTAAAAGTAAATCATACGTTTTATAAGTACTTATGTACACACACACACACACACACACACACATATATATATATATATATATATATATATGAATATATGACAAAGTGGAGTAATGGATAGCTCGGACTGAGGAACTGAAGGGCCGAGTTCTAATTACAGTCGAGCTCATTATATTAACTTACGTGCTAATGTCAGGAATAGGGTGTATTTAAATATAAAATTGGACGCTGAAGTCAACACTCAGTGGCAACAACCTCTCTCATGCTTGAATTCCTGGAGATTACATTCAAGCATGAGACAGAATGTCGCCACTTTTTTTTTAATATATCTTTTATTATATATTTGACCGTTATTTATCTTGATATAGTCCATCAGAGGACAAAATACGTTGACTAAGTTTTGCTTTTGTCTTTATTCATATTGCCCCCCCTTTTACAGATGTATTTTTTAGTTATATCTGAAATTTTACAATATATATATATATATATATATATATATATATATATATATATATATATATATATATATATATATAATTGATTTAAAATATTTTTCCGCTACACAGTTAAAACTGTGTAGCGGAAAAAAACATTTTAAATCAATTAATTTATAATATTATGCTCTGTAAATTTACATTGAGCACTATTTTGTAAAAATAAAAATATCACCGGATTATATATCTTACTGTTCTTTCTTTATATATATATATATATATATATATATATATATATATATATATATATATATATATATATATAAAAACTGCCTATAATAGTTCGATTATTTTGAAATGATTGTGCTGGCAATGGAAGATGTTTAATTATATTATGATGCTCATGAAACCATTACTTAACTTTTTTTTGTCTGTATGGGTTAGGGTTATCATCTTGGAATATGGCACTTTCTGACAACAGTATAGTAGCCATTGTAAGGACATTGTCATTGAAAATGTCGAGATATTTATCTGCAGTAATTACGAATGAGAGTGTTGATAGGACCAGAAAATACCAGGAAATTTACGCCCCAATCACTTACTGAGCCACCTCCGTTCATTTTGACTGTCAGGACTACGCAATCCGGATGATACGCTTCATGAGGTATTCTTCAGATGCCCCTCTGTAGGGAATAAAATGAAAGAAGACTCATCAAACCAAATAACGTTTTTTCATTACTCGTCTGTCCAATTTTTGTGATCATCACTCCATTTTTTCGTAACTTGGCGTTCGACTTTCTGACCAGAGGTTTAGGAATCGTAGCCCTTCCATTGCTATCCCGACGTACTGTGCGTGTCGAAACGACATGGGTTAAGTGAGCAATGAGTTCTGATGTGACTTTTGAGACAGCAGTTTTATGATTTTTTTTTCGTTTTAAAGCTCGCCAGTCTCTTTCGGTGAACTTTAGTTTCCGTCCACTATTGCTCTTTGCTGATGATATTTTGCGTTTTTTTATGTAAGCTGTCATAACCGTTCACACTACAGCTTGTGACACATTCAATGATTCAAACGTTTTAGTCACAGATGTTCCTGGTAATCGAGCACCAACAATTTATCCTCTTTGAAAATCCGACAGGTCGCGCATTTTAGTATGTAACTCTCTTGCTTCAAGATAAATAATGACTTAATAAAGTGGAAAAGCAAGGTAAAGGATTAAAGTGCTGAGCAGTTAACGTTTATGCCGGTTTGATGTTTACAAATACCCGAAAATGCTGGAATTGAAAAAAATTGCTCTTTTGCAGGCTGTTCACATTATTTTGTCTAACTCTTATATATATATATATATATATATATATATATATATATATATATATATTATAAAATTAACTGATTTAAAAATATGGTTCCTTCGCTACACAGGAATTACCATGTTTCAAAAGCAGAAACTAACAACTTCAAATTCAATTATTTAATTAAATTAAAAGCACTAGTTCGGTGTCATTTTCAAGCGAATTATTCCAAAATCCATTTTCAAGCGAATTATTCCAAAATTGCTTCAAAATGAAACAGAACTAGCGCTTTTAATTTGATTAAATAATTGAATTTAAAGTTGTTAGTTTCTGTTTTTGAAACATGGTAATACCTATGTAGCGAAGGAACTATATTTTTAAATCAGTTAATTTATAATATTTATGCTCTGTAAATTTATATTGAGCACTATTTTGTAAAAATAAAAATATCAATAAGAACACCGGATTATATATCTTACTGTTCTTTCTTTTTTTTTTACTATAATACACACACACACACACACACACACACACACACATATATATATATATATATATATATATATATATATATATATATGTGTGTGTGTGTGTGTGTGTGTGTATAAATATATATATATATATATATATGAATGAGATATTTGTGTATGTGTACGCTGTCAATTCCTGATGACTAGGTATGGCTTGGTTCGTAAAAACGACTGCATTTCCTGTCATTTTCGGTAGACACTACGTCTGCTTTTTCCTGTTCACCTAACATTTTGTTGTTTCCATATTGACAATTAAGAATGGTATTTACATCGAACCATGTAACCAGACAGCCTCTCCTGTAAATGAGAAATCATGTTTTATAAAAAAAACACAGTCATTCCCCCACCGAAATACAAATAATCATGCACTTCTGGAGACAAAATATTTCCATCTCTACTAAATTTTTGACTGTTATTCTTACCATAAATATATTATGGGAACTTATGTATCGAAATTCACATTTACATACGAAACCCACACGCACATAACTTACTATTTCATATGACCAATTACAATTAACCACGACTTTCTATCGAGTTCATTCGTTGTGT